CGGGCCTGGTGCACTGGGAAGACCCAGAGGGATCGGGTGGAGAGGGAGGTGGGAGGGGGGACTGGGATGGGGAATACATGTAAATCCATGGCTGATTCATTTCAATGTATGACAAAAACTACTGTAATGATGTAAAGTAATTAGCCTATTAAAAAAAAAAAGAAAAAAAAATTTGTGTAAAGTTCTAATTACAAAATGACTCTTAATTAAATGCATATTTTAATACTGTCCCAAAATCTTAACAGATATTACTAAGTGGTTTGCATTTCCTAATGTATCTGAAGAGGTAAAGAGCTAAAAGACTGACTGTTCTAGGAAGCTGGAAGTTGGGATTTAAAATCAAATCTATCTCAGTGTGACTATATTACCATGGAACACATTTTTGGAAATCTGGTCTAAATAAAGCAATAAACAGTCAGGAGATAAGGTGGCTGCTAATAATTTCTTGAGGCTATTCCAAGGCTATTTTCAGAGGTACATACAACTCCATAAAACACTATATTTATATAATTAGGAGATTCTATTCAGAATCACATGTATGATATTATGAAAAATAAAAATGCCTTATTTCTTTAATTTCTCCTAGTTTTATCCTCCTTTATAATATACATCTTAAAATCTTCATTAGTTCAGAAAATATAAAGTATATAGACTATGTAAATACATATAGGGTATAAGTCATAGTTCAGGTAGTATTAATCTGAATGATGAAAAGGATTTGTTAAGTAAATGAATATAGAAATAACAAACATTGCAAGAGTGTGAAATATTTGATCTGTTTACAAAAAAAAACCTTCTTAATTACTTTAGCAGCATTGAACTGACACAAATCTATTACTATTTGTAACTAACAGCAAATTTGTATAAAATCTCTACCTCTCAGGTGTACTTGTGTCTATCAGTATCCCAAAACATTATGAAAACAAATATTAAGCTCAGTGTTATGTAATGCTTTTATAGATTTAAGATTATAGGGGGAAAAGCCTTTCCCAAATAGCTGAAAAAATAAATACTTTTTGAGAGACACATAACTTTCTATAGGACAAATGTTTTTAAAAATATACACATAGAATATTAAAATGTATATGAATAAAAAAGCTCATACCAATCATAATTATATTTGAAACCTTAAGTCAATGGCACTGTGTATCTATTTATCATACTAATTTTCATTAATGTCATTAGTTATTTAGTAGCTGCTCTGTGGAAAGCACCAAAATAAGACAAACAAGAAAAAAAAATGAGCAACAAACAAAGAATTCTGCCCTGAAGCTATCCTTATTCTAATGAGGAAGAGTTACCATTAATTTAAAAAAAAACCTCATTAGGACACAATACAAATGGATAATTATAATAAGAACATAACTACTAATATCCCCTCCCTATCAAGCAATATACATGTACACTGAAATACTGGGAATAGGGAATAGTAGATTTATTATGAAAACCAAAGTCAAATTTCATGAAAATAGGCTGTTTTAATCAGAGTTTTAGAGAAAAACAATTATATAACTTAGAATATGTATATGTAAGAGAGAGAATGAGTCAATCTCAAGTCAAATGTACCTTATTAAGAACTTGGTATGTACAGAACATAAACATTTATTAAAGAAAAAATAGTTTTCCCAATTAACACACTGACAAGGAGAATTGTTTGTATATGTACTACCAAGGATGGCTTGAAATTCCATAAAGTTTCACATTTGAGGGATTTCACATTTTACATGTGCAGAAACGTAAATATCAGTGCCAAAGTGAAAATGGTAATTGCCATCAGCCACATATCCAAAGAGCTGTATACATCACAATGTGAAAGATATTGATGAAGTGATTCTTTTTAGAACCCAGAAAAATATGTTACTGGGGCAAGCAAAGAATAAGCTATCAGTATTTAAAAACATGTGAACTGACCATGATTATTTTTAAATTAAACTATATGTGGTAACAATCCTCTTGCCATTCCTACTGGAAGTGGCTATACTGACTATAAAGAAATGAGATGATTTTCATGTGTACCTTTTAGAATAAGCCTTACTATTTTACCACAAAGCTTGGATACATAGTAGCCCTTAATTATTTATAGTATTTGTAAAGGCTAAAATTAGCATCTATTAATACTACAATATATATTTTTAAAAGACTTTATAGTTTTCAATTATTTTAGATGAACTTTTCACTCAAATTCATCATAAATTAGCTACTGATGCTTCAAATAACTCTGGAATTTTATATATATATATACACACTATATAACTCTTGAAAATATTTAATTCAAATATAGTGATATTCAAGTTCAAACTTACAGTTCAATTGCCTTGTTCCACATGATAACATATCCAGAAAGAATGAAAGATTCAATATTTACAATATGTGTATTTCCTCTTTCTGTTCCAACATAGAGCCATTTACTCTGGAAAGGTAGATGACAGTAAGTAATTCTGAAAGAAAGAAAATTATAATTAAAATATCTAAATTTTATATCTGGTCAGAATTAAATTTTCTTTACACTCTTTACAATGATAGTTATATAAACAACAAAATTTACTACATACTCAGTAGAACTTAATTATTAGCAGAGTTTATAGGGTAAATGACAAGACTGTATCATTAAAAATAATAATGATAAAGCAATCACTATTAAATAAGTATGTGATATGGACACTGATATATATTATTTCTAATTCTGAAAATAGCATGTCAAGACATATATACAACTTTTCTTTAGAAAGAGGAAACTGAGGTCAAGAATTTGTACTTCTACTTGCCTAGGACTGACAGTTAATAAGTGGCAAAACTGGGATTCAAATCCATTACTGTCTGGTTGAAAAATGACTGCATTTCTACAAAGCTATGTTTGGATTTTTATAATAATGTCACTTGAAATAAAAATTAGGTATATATGAAACATAATTTTCAGAGTTCTCAGAGAGACTGTAGCTTTGTCTACATGAAGCGATAAATTATTTACTTTTTTCCTGATGCTTGGCATTTAAATGGTATAAAGAAAACCTGTAAGGTTAAAGATCCACTGTACTATTTCTTTATTTTTTTGTTCTGCCTTTATCTTCACAATAGGCTTTCTGACCAATTCTGGGAACTTATTCCATAGCCAGAGCAACCATGACTCCTACATATGAAATCTGGGAATTTATTAATCTTCTATTCATAGTATCATCACTTTTTCTAGTTTGGCCTACTTATGCTCCTTAACCACTTTTAAAAAGACATGGAGAATAAGTTCACAGTTATCTTCTTGCCAGAACTTGTTATTAAACCATAATATTTCCTAGAACTTATTTCGAAACAGAGCTGGCAAACTGTTAGAAGAGAAAAACAGAATACTGATATTAAGCAGATAGACCACTATGGAGAAAAAAAGGAAAGTGAATGATAAATTCCAAGAAGGATTTCATCTTATACCTCTTTATGTAACAGTGAACATGCATCATGTCAAAGTTATATTTTCAATCTGGTTCATTGACTTTCTCTACACCCTTGTGTGTGTGTGCATGCTCAGTCATGTTTGACACTTTGCAAGCCCATGGGCCTAAATACAGCCTGCCAGGCTCCTCTGTCCATGGGATTTTCCAGGTAAGAATACTGGAGTGGGTCGCCATTGCCTATTCTAGGGGATCTTCCTGACTCAGGGATCAAACCCATGTGTCATGCATCTCCCTGCACTGGCCAGGCAGGTTCTTCACAACTGCATCACCTGGGAAGCCCAAACTTTATCCAAAAGTATTCTGCTGAAGGCACCTAGCACACTAAATTCAAAAACTAGAAGTCTTGTTATTACATACACATTTACAGAGTTAATTGATAATTAAAATATAACATATATGATATTAGATAATTTTGATTAAACCTACAGTCCAGAAGTGCTGTTGCCAAATAAAGTTCTAAAGGAAATAACTTAATAGTCATGTTTCTAGCCAATGGACAATCAATTTCTAATTCAATCTATGTAGAAAAAGGAAGCTCATTTTAAAAAGGATTTATGATCACCCTTTCTGAATAATCAATAATCATATCCTTTACAATTATACAGTGGAAATGACAGTTTCAAGGGATTAGATCTGATAGACAGAGTGCCTGAAGAACTATGTTTAGGACACTGGCTTGGGACACTGTACAGGAGGTTCAGGACACTGTACAAGAGGCAGTGACCAACACCATCCCCAAGAAAAAGAAATGCAAAAAGGCAAAATGGTTGTCTGAGGAGACCTTACAAATAGCTGAGAAAAGAAGAGGAGCTAAAGGCAAAGGAGAAATGGAAAGATATACCCATTTGATGCAGAGTTCCAAAGAATAGCAAGGAGAGAAAAGAAAGCCTTCCTCAGTGATCAGTGCAAAGAAAGAGAAGAAAACAATAGAATGGGAAAGACTAGAGATGTCTTCAAGAAAATTAGAGATACCAAGGGAACATTTCATGCAAAGATGGGTTCATATAGGGTTATCACTATCATCTTTCTAAAGTCCATATATATGTGTTAGTATACTGTAATGGTCTTTATCTTTCTGGCTTACTTGTATAGAACAGACTTGTGGACTCTGGGAGAAGGCGAGGGTGGGATGTTTCAAAAGAACAGCACTGAAACATGTATATTATCTAGGGTGAAACAGATAACCTGCCCAGGTTGGGTACATGAGACAAGTGCTCGGGCCTGGTGCACTGGGAAGACCCAGAGGGATCGGGTGGAGAGGGAGGTGGGAGGGGGGACTGGGATGGGGAATACATGTAAATCCA